TGTGTACTGTCCACTATCCTAATTAGGTTTGTGTATGCGTTTATCTAAACACGTGTTTGTTTTGTTTGTCTGTTCACATGTCATAGTGATTAACAGATCTACATTTTCAAGTCACAGCAAATTCTCCAAATTTATTTTTTCAAGTTTTGAATAATGTGTTTTTTCCTTCTAACTCTACTACTAAGTAACCTATTTACTTGCTCTTTTACTTGCTATACCTTTAATACAAGCTCTATCTTTTTCTTTAAGCCTGTGAAGTTGGTTAAGACAGTTGTTTTTGAGAGAACTTTCAATTTGCTTCTGTCGATTTTGTGTACAAGTGATCAGCAGAGAGAGTTATGACTGTTATTTTTTATTTATTGAATTAACAAAAAATGAAAACTATAAAATTATGGCATATGTTATATTTTTTAAAATCTGGAAAGAAGTTGTATATGATGTTTGATTAATGATTAAAGCCTCTGATCTATGTAATAAATGTAAGCAACTTTGTGCTAAAATTCGAGTTACTAATGATCTAGAAAGTAAACAAAAACTTCAAAATAAATACAACCTTTATCATATAAATGCAACAATTTAACACCAACATTATAATAACAATATTAGTATAAGTAAGCAGTTAGAATTTAATATTGTACATATTTGTTATAACTGAACACAAAATGTACAAATTCTATATTTACTATAGCAACCTGAAGGCTTGTTTTTTAAATTACTCTTTAATGCTTATATATTCGGAATTGTTAATACTAGTCTAGAAACACAAAAAAATTATCTTATTGGCAAGCATCAATTTCTAAAAGAAACACCTAAAGGTACTAATATGACTCTTAATTTTATATATGATAGTTTATTTATTGAAATTCATTACAAAAAAATTTAAAAGTTACATGTAATAATTGTAGAGGTCAAAACAAAAATAACCTTACTCTTTGGTTTTATTCTTGGCTTACTATAATTAGACGATTTGATACTATTGAATTAAATTTTATGATTCCTGGTTATACAAAATTCATTTGTGACTTATATTTTAGAATAATTAAATCACATTACCATAAATCTAATGTTATGAGTATGGATTATATTGAAACTATTATTAATCAATTGAAAAAAATAGAAGTAATATAGCAGTTAGATATGTTAGTAAAAATCAATTAAAATGGAATTATGATTTTGAAAATTTTTTAAAACCATATTTTGTAAAAATTGATAGTATACATGCATACTATCACTTTTATTTCTATCATGATCAGTTTAAAAATATTTATAACTTTAGAATCTAATGGTTTAAAAAAAGAAACTATAATTTATAATAATGTTTAGTTAGATTTATATAAACCTTTAACTGTAATTTTCTTAAAACTTTTAACTTTAAAACATCAAATACAATTGTTTAAAGATATTTATTTATATATTCACAACCCTCACAAAGATGAATTATGTTTTGCTCTATATAAACAAGATTATAATAATATAAAATAATTTTTAGATCATCAACATACATATATATGTAAAATTTTATTTTTAGAATCAAAAAATTGGTATAATAAAAAACTTTGAATGAGAGTTGTATAGTAAATCATTATAATATTACATAATGAAACTTGTGCCAAGTATAAAGTATATACTAAAGAATATAATTTAATAAATAATTAAAGTTTAATTAAAATTTTCCAAATACTCATAATGGTAAAAATTGATCCATATATGTAATAAATTATATTTATAATAAATTATATTTGTAAAAATATATAGTATCTGGTATATTAAATTTTCATTATTAATATATAATATGTATGTAAGTTTATATATGTATATAAGTTCTTTTAAAAAAATTTTTTTTTAACTAATGAATCAAAGTGAAAGTAACCAAAGCAATTAAAATCATCATGAATATATTCAAGACAACCATAAAAGTAATTATAATTATGAAAATGATCAAAGTTACTAATACGATTATGAAAGTGATCAAAGTAACCAAGAATTAACATTATCTAATAAGAATAAAAAATTAAAGACTGTAACAAAATCCAAATCTGCTTTCAAAAATTCTTGGTTTAATGAATTTAGATAGCTTCAATTTGACAAAATCTCTCAATAGATGTTTTGTAAATATTGTAAATATTACAATAAATCAAATACTTTTGGAAATACAGAATCTGTAAATTTTGGTCAAAAAAGTTCTGTTTAAGAACATGCATCTTCAGAGCAACATAAAGATGCAATAAGACTTGATGTTACTGAAAAAATAGTTAATAAAGAATTGGAACAATTTACAGAACAAAATAAAAATCATATGATTGAAATTGCAAAAATTGTATATATTCTTATATAACAAGATATATCACTAACTAAACTTCCATATATGGTTTAATTATTTTGTGAATTAGAGTCTTTATTTATTGTAGATAATGTTGTTATTTATGAAAATAAAATATCTGGTCATGAATTTGCATTTGCTATATCTAATGTAATTAAGACTGAAATATAAAAAGAGCTTAGTGAAGCTGTATCTTTTAGAATTATGATCGACAAAAGTACAGATATTGCTATGAATAAGCATATTGATATATATGTAATGTATCTAAATATTTCTGGAAATGTAAAAACATATTTTTTACAATTATTAGTACTTGATCAAAGCAATGCAGTAACAATAACTACTAAATTAATTCAGCTATTTCAAAGTTATAATATTATTAACAAATTAGTAGCTTTTGCTTCAGATGATGCATCTATAATAATTGGATGTAAAAATGGTATTGCACAAAAATTATCACAAATTTGTTCATATTTGTCTACAATCATTGTATAACACATTGTTTAACATTAGCTTGCAAAGATTCACAAAAGCAAATTGATTATTTCAATAATGTCAAGATTATTATAAAAGATATATACAAATATTATAAAAATTCTGCAAAATGAGTTTATATTTTTTAAGAATATCAACAAATTCTTGATTGTTCTGAGTTATGTTTAAAAAAATTAAAAAACATATGATGGCTTGGCTGGTATGACATTGTAAAAAATTTTATTAAAACATTATCAGTTATTCTTTTACAACTTCAAGATAACAATAATAAGGTTGCTAATAACTTGTATCAATGATTATATAACTGACAATTATTGGAATTTTTTTATTTTATTTTTGATATTTTAGGTTATTTGATATCATTAAATAAAATTTTCCAAAAAAGTAATCTTTATTTTCAAGATATTATTTCTATAATTGATGCTACAACTAAAATTATTCAAAAAGATTATCTTGTAGATATTTTAGATGTTCAAAATCATTATCTGGGTTATAATCTTCAACTTTTTATCAATTATACAAATCCATTCAATAAGCAAACAGACATAAATTATTATACACATTTACTTATATATAATAATCATGATTTTGATGATTTATTTCAAGATATTTACAAATATACAAGCACAATTATTACAGAAATTAAAGAACATTTTCCTGATCATCTTTTACTTGCAGCAATGAGAATTTTGAATTCAGTAAAATGATCATATAAAAAAGAAGAATTATTTAAATTTGGAGACAATGAATTGCAAATCTTATTTGATCATTATGGAACAGCAAAAATTATAAATGGTCAAAAATTCTTACTATTAATTGATGTGGATTCATGTATAACAGAATGGTCTGGTTTTAAAAATATTATTTTTTCAAATTATTTAACATTTTCCTCACAAGAATTACTTCCCTTTCTAATTTGTGATTATTCTGATATTTTTCCTAACATGATTAAATTTGCTTATATTACTAATAGCATTCCTTTTTCAAGTGTAGATTGTGAATGTGGATTTTTCAAACAAAATACAATTAAAACCCGTTTGTGTAACTCTTTAACTACATTTACTTTAGATGTGTTTATGAGAATTTCATTAGAAGGAAAGGAAAGTAAAAAAATGAATTGGGTTAAAATATATCATGAATGGCATAATATAAAATATAGATATGGCATACAGTAATGTTATTTTCGAATTTAGTTTTTTTTTATATTGAAACTGCAATTTTGTTTTTGGGATATATAGTATATAATTAATGTATTATGATAGCGAAACGTAGCAATAATAGCAATTATTATACATATTGGTATATATTTGTTAATATCTCTGGCTGCAGATCCAAAATTCCGTTTTGTATACATATTGCCGGAAAAAAATCAGGACACGTCATGCCACAATTTTGTGCACTGGTCCGTATTATACGTTAAGAATTGACCGTTTTCTATGGTTATGAATTAAATATTCTTAAATATATGAATTAAATATTGTAGGTTGAAAGTTCTTGGATATTTCGTTTATACTATTAAACAAACCGAGATCTTAGAATTGTGAGAACTGTCGTTTCTAATACGTTTTTACAAAAGACCAAAGAGGCATGTTTGTTTCTTTTGTACATATTTGCAAATAAGTGCATTTTAATTTTAAACAATTCTTTTTTTTTAATTTAAAGGTCTCTTTAGTAGGTTTGTTTTTCCATTAAAAATGTAGGCTAAGAATTAGTATTTTGATCTGCAATCTGAACAATTCAGATTGATTTGATAATTCAAATTAAATACGGAAAAGTATGCCAATGGCATCCTGGAACTTCTTCAGGTTATAATTACAAATCACCTTGTTCTAACAAAAAAATTTCTTGCAAAATTTTAATATACTATACATTTTATTAGGTCTTTATACTACTTTTGTTATTTGATCAAGTTAAAATTTCTAAGTTAATTTTATTTATGAAAAGCAGGATTTCTCTTTGCCCAATATAGCAATAGAAAGTAATGAGAAAAATTGATTAATTCTAAAATGTTAATTACAACATAATTATTTATATTATAATTTTATTATTCAATATTTTTAATACTTACTTGTATTCATAGTTATGAAAGTCAGAATTCACATTAACCAAATCAAAACATTACTAAATTCTTCATAGAGCTTAAACTTAAAAAATAAAAATCAAAACTGATGAAGTATTGAAATTCTGGTGAAACATTAATCTCAGACAAAATGTTAAAATTTTGCAAATCTTTAATGAAAAGTAAATGAAGCTATCTTGATTCAGTGATCTCTAAGTTATTTAAATTTAAGTTAGAACTATACAAATAGTATTTTTAATATAATAAATTATAAATAAAAAATTGATTTACTAATTTTAATTTTGAAGTTTTTGTTACATAGAATTTTTATAAATAATATTACTTAGATATATGAACATAAATAGAAATATAAAATAGAGCAAAATAACATATAATATAAGATTATTTATATGCAATTATCAAATAATTCTTGAATATCTTCATATTTTATTCTTATAATCTGCAGCTATTTTTTATATTGAACACATTATATTAGCATTAGATAGAAATCAATTGTAAATATAACAAGACATTGACTTAAAAAGCATGTATACTATATAACATTGTCTATAGTATCTGGTCTAATTCAAGAATCTGATCCTGAAAATTAAATAATACTTAGTATTATTCACAAATTTAGTAATTTTATCAGTGTTGGCATTTGGACTATGTCCAAACAAAATTTTAATTAGACATAGACAAATATGGACATGAACTAAGTCCAAAAGGTGTCCATGTCCAAATAAAGGATCGAATATAAAAATTCTTTGTGTAACCACTTTATCCAATAAAAACTTAACACATGACATATTAAATTAGATTGCTGATAAAATAATATTTATTTACCTTCCAACTAATATATTCATGACTTCCCTTTTCTAGCATCCTTCCTGTGACATTTATGGTCATTATCCCATACTTTCATATTTGTCAATATTATTATTTAACAATAAGTAGGAAAGAACAAGTTTAAAAAATTGTGCCTAAACAATTAATACAATTAACGTTAATTCATGATGATATACGGCTAATAACGAACAAAAAATTTTGGCATTGTCAATTAAAATATGTTGTTGTACGTTAATTATTTTTAATACCGCATGCTGGCCTTTCAAATAAATTATATATGTACATGTATGCAAATATGAATATGGTTCAATTTAAATTAATAGTAAAATAATATTCATACAATAGCATGTTCGGGTAGGTGGTACACTATTTATTTAACAATAGTTCTTTATTTTAACTAGTGTCTAGGTTTATGCAATTTTGGGAATTTGTCATTGTTCAAACAATGAAAAATCACAGAAAAAATTGCATAAGTCTTGATCTCTACTTTTAGCTCAAGGTGAATGATACAGATTTTTGAACATTTTACTATTATCAAGTGTTGTAAGTAATCTAACTATAATGATGCTAGACAGTAATAATCACAATAGAAAATCTATCTTGGTAATTTTGTCAAATAATATGTTAAGCTGAAAATAATACCATCATGAGAATATCATAACTTCTGATTAGTATTTGTGCATTTTGTTCTTTCAAAACTGGTTTAACAAAGAAAATTTTAATTTAGTATAATGTAAAATGGAATGGGTCTAAAAAAATGTTTCGCATTATAACGATACTTTGGGCATTTTCAAACAACTTTCTTGTAAGCTCAACAAAGAATTTAATCAGCTGTCTATTAGACAGATTGATCTAATACTTTGTTGAGTCCATTGAGAGAGATGCTTGAAAATACCCTTTATTTGGGTAGAGTAATCACTATAATTAGTTATTCTGATTTATTCGAATAAAAGGCTCTATCGACCCCTTTTAGCGATTTAGACTCTTTTCATTAGTATATTATATCTAATATAGTAATATGAATAAATTTGAATTGTTATATATAATTCAAAAGTCTGAATCACTGAATGAGGCCATCGTATGATATAGATAAACTCAGTAACAATTAATAGTATGATCATCATAATTACAATTGTTTCAGTTACTTATTTTGCAAAATGAAAAATAAAAGGCCTTTTTTAGTAGTACTATATTGTTTTCTACATTATTGTATTAAGTGGCTATTATGCATTTGAAATTTATCTATCATACTGTTTAATAAGATCAGTTAGAGAATTCAAAAATTTGAATTAAGAATATAAATAAAAACAAATAAATAGTTAAGGAATTTTTAGAAACAAAGTTTGATTAAGAAACCAAGTAGCAATCTCAAAGTCTCGCATTGATAATTCTACTGGTTTAATCATCTTTGCTTACTTATCATATAAATATAGCCAAACAACCCTATCATTTATCAGAATTTATAATCATGCTTGATGAAAAAGCAAATAAAAGCAACAAGTTCTGTGTCTGTCAAGAATGTGTAATTGGTTCTTCTTATGAAGATGCATATAATAATAGGTTTGCAAATACACAAGAGTTAGTTCACCATCACTTAAAAAATTGTGTATATTTTAAACAAAAATATAGTGAATCTGAACAAGCAGAAATTCTAGCCAAATCAGATAAAGTGGTTTCAACAACTAATAATTGTAAGCTTAATTAATTAAATACAGTATTGTTTGCTTTCTGTATATATAAATGTTGGTTTTATTTTTAACTTAGCTTTTCAAGAAAGTATTGATGATAATTCTGCTACTGAATCAGAAGTTTCTTCAGTTGCCAGCTCTCTTCAGTCAAATAAGTTTCGAAGCAAAAAAAATAGAATGGATTGATATTTATTGCAGCCTTTAAGTGAAGATTAACAGAAACATTTCAAACAACTTTTACTTAAAGCAACTGTTTTATGTAGTTTGGCTTTTTTTGAGTAGAAAACCCAGAAATAAAGGCACTTTTTGAGTTTCTCTATCTACCAGTTAAACTGCCCTCACAAAAAAAGCTTGGTGGCTGAATTTTAGCAGAATATGCACAAAATATAACTAAATCAATTAAAGAAATAGCTCAAAGTGATAAAAATAGTGTTACATTAGCATATGATGGTTAGAAAAATATAAAAAAAAAGTCAATTTTCAGAAGTGTTTTAATTACTTCGAAGGGTAAAATTCTTGTAGAAAATATATTAAATGAATGTACGAAATGGCCTGATGTACAACATCGAACAGAAAATATGCTTGATGATCTAAAAAAAAGAAATAAAAGTTATTGCTATTGTAACAGATTGCACATCTGAATATGAAACAGCCAGGTAATATTAGATACACTTATTTCACCGGTGCTTATTTTGTAGATACAGCACTTTACTAACAATTAATTCACTGCCATGTTTATTTCACCAATACTATACTTATTTTACTGATAAGTTTATTTCACTGATAGTTTATTTTACCTATAGCTCATATTTCTGACAAGGTAATTCTAGTCATTGTCATTAGGTTCAGATTAGATTTAGAGTTAAGGTTAGTGTAATTTATAAAAAAAAAAAAAACTTGTCAGCGAAATGAGCTGTGTGAAATAAAATGTCGATAAAATAAACTTGTCAATGTCAGTAAATTGATCATTAGTAAAATGTTGTATCTATATCAGTGAAGTGATACAGCATCATTATTAATAAATTTTTTTCAAAATTAGAAAACATTTATGGCATGCACATTTAGAAATCATATTTATCCCATATTTTGCACTTTAAATGAACTTGTGTGTTGGTGATATATTTAAAATTTCAAACACATTATCAGCTGTTGCTGAACAAGCCATTTGTCTTGTATCCTTTTTTTATCAGTCAACATTTTTTTTTAGGCACCTTCGTTCAGAGCAAGCATCTTTATATAAGTTATATATTTCTTTTGTAACCCCAAATTTTGCTTGATAGAATAGTCACTACCTTTGCTTCGCTAGCATTATTAGGTTCTGTGCTGTACTCAAAAACTTAGCTACAAGAATAGAAGAAGAAAATAATAATAACCTTAAAGGTTTTCCTAGAAGTATCCTTTTTAATATTTCAGACAATAAGTAGTAGAAAAACCTTATACAATTAAAGGTTCTTCTCGAACCGTATATGGCATCATTAAATAAACTTCAGCAAGATAAAAGCTGCCTTACTGAAGTTTTGCATAGTTTTGGATAGATGTGCCAAGTTATTAAAAGTATTATTGATCAGGATCTTAAAAATTATTTGCTAATAAAATTAGAAAAATGATGGTTAGCCTGGGAGCAACTGTTGTTACTTTTGTCTTTTTTATTACATCTGAGTTATCGTAATACACAATTTAACCAAAATGTTGATGGTCTTTTTTTTACGCATATAGGAGAATGGATTGTATACTATTATAAATCTTGGTTTAGTAAACCTCCATGTTCTATTTTGCGTGAATTGCAACATTATGAAAGTGAAGAATACCCATTTGATAAAGAAATTTTTGACCAATATGGTGGTAATGTGCTAAACTATTGGAGTTTTTGTAAAGAAATTGCTGTAGAATTGCATCTTGTGGCAGTTTGTATTTTTTCAATTTGTATAACCATGGTATCAGTAGAATGGTTATTCTCTGCAATAGGATGATATCACTCAGATCATTGTAATCGACTTCAGGTAAATTATTTATTTTTTTTTTTAAATATCAATGTATAAATTTATTGCCAATATAATATGTCATTATTATATGAACTAGAATAAAATTAGAATGTTAAAAAAAACACCTTTTGCACTTTAACAAAATAATTATTTTTTAAACTACTAACCCTAACCATTATTCCTTACATAAATCATTCGTTTGTCAAATATTATATTGGTAATAAAATATCTAATTAGTCACAGGATCATTTATGTTTATTAAATTTTATATCTAATAGTATAAAAAAGTCCTTGCCATGAGCCAAATAAGATCAGAGCTTTTACATTCATGAAATATTGCGACGATTAATAAGTTATTAAAAACATATAAACAAAATATTGCTATTCCATTTGAACAAATAAGCCCTGATAATGACAACGAAGAGGAATTTATATTATCAGATGAAAACACTGATAATAATAATATTGATACGGGAGATACTAGAGATAATAATCATATAGAAACAGTTAATTGTATAGATGACTGAAAAGTAATTGTAGAATGATGGATAAATCTAACTGAAGAAGAAGATAATTATATACAATATAATTTAGTAAGTTTAGATGAATCAGAAAGTTTAACCGACTTGTATGAAGAAGAGGATGAAGTAATGCACCAAGATTTTTTAATTCATTCCGCAGATAATTTGGAAGCAAAATAGAAATTGACAAATATTTTTGCAGATTCGTTAGTACAATCTGATTCTATCCATTTGCTTTTGGGTGATTAGGAATGTAAGCAGTAATCTTATTTACAGTAAATACGAATTTAACTAATTAAAAATTAATTTAACATAATATCAATTTAATAATTATGTACTTGCAGGCTTTAGTATACCATTAGAAATTAACCAAACTATGCGACAGCTTTAAATAACCATAGAGAAAGCTTTCAACAGATATAAAGAATCTTTTGTAAATTTAAATAGTTAATTAGAAATTGACCCAAATAACAAAATAGTATTAAGAAATTAGGAATCACTTGCACATTTTAATAATCATGAAAAATATCAGTAGATGGATAATTATAAATATAGACATATTGGTTGTATTTTCATGCTTATTATATTTTATTTAAACTTCTTGTAGTTTTAAGTTTGGGAAAGGTTTTTAAGGATAGTGTTGACCACTTAGGTTATATCTAACAAGTTATAGGCAAATGTTGTCTAAGAACATTTTAGCTCAAGAGCTAATAAAAATATAAACTTCCTAAGTACTATTTTGCTTTGCACTTTTTGTATTATTAACCACTTTTATGATATGACAAAGAGTTTTGCATCTAGCTTCACAGTATATAATCTATATACTTAATGCAGACATCATGACATCACTTTGTTTATTAATTATGTTCATGATATATTGATTGAAAGTTAGTGATAATATTTAATAATTTGAAACTTTTCTAAAAAAAAATTGCATTAATAATCACTTAGGACGGGCAAGAATAAACTTTAACAATAGAAGAAAGAAATAAAAAAATTCATAGTTAATATAGTTTTTGTCTTTTGCGAGTACAAATAATCCGAGAAATGATATTTATTAAAGATACCTCTTGTGTGAACATACAACTAAAAATTAAAACTTTAAGTAAGACTTATTTAGGCTTTAATTCTTTTAGCCAATCAAAACTTATGAAAAAGGTTACACAAATCACATGTTAGAATTTGGACTAAGCACCTATGTCCAATCAAAAAATATGGACAATATGGACATAGTCTATATTTGTCCATGTTCAATGGTCCATATTGTCCATGTCTATATTTGGCCAATACTGAAAGTTAGTGATAACATTTAAGAATTCGAAACTTTTCTAAAAAAAAAATTGCATCAATAATCACTTGGGACGGGCAAGAATAAACTTTAACAATAGAAGAAAGAAATAAAAAAATTCATAGTTAATATAGCTTTTGTCTTTTGTGAGTACAAATAATCTGAGAAATGATATTTATTAAAGATACCTCTTGTGCAAACATACAACTAAAAATTAAAACTTTAAGTAAGACTTATTTGGACTTTAATTCTTTTAGCCAATCAAAACTTATGAAAAAGGTTACACAAATCACATGTTAGAATTTGGACTAAGTGCCTATGTCCAATCAAAAAATATAGACAATATGAACATAGTCCATATTTGTTCATATCCAATAGTCCATATTGTCCATGTCCATATTTGGCCAATACTGCATAGTGGCAGTGGTTTATAAAAACCTTAAGTGGCTTGTATTGCTATGCAGGTAGTATGCTAAAACCAGGTAGTATGCTAAAGCTAGATAGTATGCTAAAGTTAGGTAGTTGCTAAAGCCAGGTAGTATGTTAAAGCTGGCATATCTGAAATATGTATCAGGTTATGCAAGTTATTAATTATAAATTATTAACCAATCTGATGTTTACTCATTTTACAAATTTTTTTTTTTTTTTTTTTTTAACCTTTGGCAGCCACAATGGTCAACTAGTCAGAAGTTTATTTATAAATGTTTAGTACAG